ATCCAGCCGCTGCTGAATCTGACCAGCAGTGGCTGAATCAGGATGCCTGGGGCAGAACAGCTGGGGTGCTGCCCGGTTTGTCTGCAGACCAGGGGGACGGGGAGGGGGGGGCAAAGCAGAGCCAAGCCTCGGAGCGCGTGGGCAGCGGACAGCCCTGTCCGCTGCCCACGTGTTCCGCCGCTTTGCTTCCTCTCCCTGGTCTGCTGGAGACCAGGGAGAGGAACGCCCCGTTCGTAACTGCGGATCCGACATAAGTCGGATCCGCGTAACTCGGGGACTGCCTGTACTTAAGTTAGACTTACTGGCCTACAAATTGCCAGGATCATCTCTGGAGCAGTATTTTGGTGTCAAATTAGCTAGCTTCCAGTCATTTGTTACAGAAGCGGAGTTAAATGACAGGTAAACAAGTTACAATTAGTAATTGTGCAATTTCATATTTGAGTTCTTTCAGAACCTCCTTTAATGACACCTCAATCTGAGACAATTCCTCATGTTAAAAAGAATGGCTGAAGTTTGCAATCTCCCTCATGTTCTCAGCTGTGAAGACTGATGCAAAGAATTCATTTAGCTTCTCTGCCATTTCTCCACATACATTGTTAATATCTTGATCATATAGTAGCCCCACTGGCTGTTTAAGCAGGTTTCCTGCTTCTCACGTACTTAAAAAAGTCATGGCGGTCCTGGACCTCAATCTCTTGCCTAGGCTACGTCTACACTGCACATTTCAGAATAAGCTATTCCAGAGTATTTATTCTGAAATAGCTTATTTTGAAATAGCTTGTGAACACTGCAAGGAAGCCTCAAAATTAGTCTGAGGCACACTTCCCTAATGTAGACATGCTGTCTCAATTTAGAGCCCCAGGAGGAATAACTTAAAATGGCCCTGGTGAGGAGCTATTTCGAAATAGTAGAAGTTGAGTCTACAGACGCCTTATTTCAAAATAGCTATTTTAGAATAGGTATTATTCTTTGTAGAATGAGGGTTACAGAAGCTGGAATAAGCTGTCTGTTATTTTGAAATAACGGAATTGCTGTGTATACACTCGCATAGTTACTTTGGAATAATGGCTGGTTTTCCAAAATAACTGCTGTGTAGACACACCCCTAGTGGCCTAAATTTGGCCTCCAGAATCGCTCTCCTATCTTTCCATATATCATTGGGACGGCCAGCTCCTCCACAGCACTGCACATAAGTCTGTCTAAATGTCTTGAGTGGTCTGCAACAGTTGCACCAGACAGGTAAGACACTAGGCAGTTCTAGTCATTGCAAACCCAGCTATCTATGTTTCTAATGATCAAATCCCCCTATTACTTATGCCTGTCTCTTCCTCCCCCAGTGTGAAGGGATAACATGCCACTAGGACGGCCAGCTCCTCCACAGCACTGCACATAAGTCTGTCTAAATGTCTTGAGTGGTCTGCAACAGTTGCACCAGACAGGTAAGACACTAGGCAGTTCTAGTCATTGCAAACCCAGCTATCTATGTTTCTAATGATCAAATCCCCCTATTACTTATGCCTGTCTCTTCCTCCCCCAGTGTGAAGGGATAACATGCCACTATTTGAAAGGAGGGTCCCAACTATGGAATTATTCCCCTCCGCTCCACTTGGATATTCTCCTTCCTTGATTGCAAATTTAAATTAGCTATACTACAATCAGATGTCTAATTCTGCAATTAAAAAAATTAGAGATCACGCAGCAGAAGGAAAAAGTGATGGAGAATTTGGCATCTAAACTCTCAGGAACTGATAGTGTTGATAACATGTGTTACATATACTCTTTAAGATAACAAAAAAGTAATCTAAACTACTGTTTTTCATTCTCAATGTCATGAAAGATGAAATATTGAAACGAGAGTTTTGAAATATTTACTCTTCCTTTAGTTTCAAACACTAGAAGAAACTATTTATTTACACTATAGATCAGAATATACCTAAATTAAAAAGTGGTAGAGAGAAAGTGAAAAGAGCAATAACTGACCATTTGCCTAAATAAATTCAAACAATTTTAATTTTACATTTATTTAGATTTATTCGCTATCTATCTATCACCGCATACTACTTCAAGTCCATTGCAGGATTGTTTATAGTTAGTCTTAATTCCACAAAGACAATAATACCACTGTGGAAGACCAATGGGGAGAAAAGCAATTTTAATGTATTTACAGTTCCTTATTTTTGTAAACATTTAATCTACATACTGTACTAAGTTCTATCAAGGGTAAAGAGCTATACATAGACACAGGAAATGAGACCCTGTATTTCTATTCATACTGAGCATTAGCATATTATAGATAGAACCTCTGCCCTTTTTCATTAACACAGCAGTAATCTTTCTCCAGATAAGTTTTAAAACTTTTCAAAGAACTAAATATACTGAAATACTATACAACTACATCTATCTAAGCCAACCCATTTGGCTTTTATTCCATTTCTAGAATAATTTAAAGTGCTATAAGCAACCCGTTAATCAACACTTTTCTATGATAACAAAACTGCTTTTAAACATTAATTTACAAGATAATATACAATGTTCATCTGGAACAGCTGAAATTTCAGCACATAGTCAGTCACTGTCACACTTATAACAGCTTTTTGCATAACATAGAACAGAAAGCTTTGAAAATAACTTTTGTTGAGCTGTTATTGCCACAATGGCTTATCAGTTTTCCTACAAAAGTGAACAAGAGCTACTTAGTGTATTCTAGCCTGTCATTTTTTGAGGTCACATGACAGTAATTTTGCATATTCCACAAATCTACTGAGTTACAATATTGTCTACCTATAGTACATTACCCCATTTTATCAGAGCTGGTGCTAACTGTAGTTTACAACATAAATCCACTCAAAAACATCACAACTATTTTTTTTCTTTTGGACAGGAATAAGCTATGTTCTTGGAATTGATGTGCTACAAGGCTACAACAGTATAACTATAAAACAGTATATATCTGACAGTTTATGTTGAAGAAAAAATACGTTGGTTTCATAGTCCCTGTATGCATAATGACTTACCATAGCTACAAATTTGTTCGCTGCATTTTACTTGATTAATCCATGAAATTCAGTGGAATTAACACACATTCTCATATTCCCTTTTTACATTTTTAAACACATAGCTCAGTGCTGTCCTCATTTGTCCCAAACCTGCAGATCATTAACAGCATGTGCAAAGTATTCTAATACAATCAGCACGTAACTAGAACTTGTATTATATCATGTAACTGACATGTATTTTCTAAACATGGACATTAATAAAACAAGTGGCACTTCTGAATTTGGATGAATTGTCTAACCAGATCTAGGTGTAATGGTATGCTCCAATACAGAATGCTAAACTTCTTGTCTAGCAGTGGCACCATGTGAATTAATTAATAAGCGTTCTGAACCAGTGTTTGTAGCATTACGTCAAATCACCATACTTAAAACTTCCTCTCTTGCAGGCCTCCATAGGGACAGCTCCATTTAGAGATACAGTTTTAAAAGAAAAATAATCTTAATTGAAATGCAGAAAAGTAGTCTTAAAGGGATCATAGGCAGATGTGTTGGGGTACACTGAAGGACAGATAATTTGGGAGGCTGGCTCCACAATAGCAAGCTTAATTTAACGGATATTTATTTTCAGTCCATGTGGACGAGACTCATAGAAATATTTTAAACTCATAGTAAAGTATGACAACTTAAAGTATGCAATTTCAAAACTGTATCTGGATCACCAGGAAGGTAGATTTAAAGCCATAGTATATAAATACTATATTATATTGCTGGTAGGGCTTTTTGAGCTGCACTGATTCATGCCAGGTTTGGGACAACAGCCTGTAGAGACAGTTATACACTTATTCAAAAGCCCAGATTTCAATATCTTGGATAATGAAGTCTTCTCTCTTAGAAAGTGTGTGATTCCCAAACGTTTTACAAGAGTGACTTCTTCCATGGTAGAGATCTCCATCAAGCCAAAGACCAAATTCACCCCTGGAACATAAACAATTATATAAAAATAATTCATGAAGGAGAACAAAGTTAATCTTACAAATGTAGTTAGAGTAGCTAGAATTATAAATTATAAAACATGATTCCCCTGATTCTTCCGATTTCCCAAGTTCCCTTAAACATAGCTGAACTTGAAGCCAGAAGGTTTTTTTTTAATATGACAAAAGATTTGTAAGTATTTCCAGGATTCTGCAGTATCTACATTAGATTTACATAATTTAATATTTTAAAATTACTTCTAAATTAAAGTTTCTTTTGTGGAAGAACACTAATAATCAAGAACAAAATCTTTGTGCTAGAAGATCACAGAGTGATTTTAAAAAATATATATAAGTAAAAAATATGAGCATTTCATTTGAAGGAAAACAAAGATTATGGGACACCATTTCTAGGCTTGCCATTATATTTCCTAGGTTTACCTAAAACAGATTTTTGTGACAAAGTATTTCTTGGGACATATTGGTCAGAGTGCCAGTGTTGGGACACTAACCTGGGACTCTGGAAACTTAGTGTTCATTTTTTTTTATTTTGCCAAATAGGCAAGTTACTAGGTTTTTCAATTGCCTTGCTCATTATTGATTTCCTTTCAAATGTTAACATCTTATATCAGTTTCAGATAAGTGAGTAGAGGTAAAAAAAGAATTACCTTTTTCTGTCAGTGGTGTTCTTTGAGATGTCTTGCTCATGTCCATTCCATATTAGGTGTGTGTGTGCTTGTCTGTGTTGGAAGTTTTCCCCTTAGTATTATCTGTAGGGGACTGGCTCTGGTGCCCTCTGGCACTGTCAGGTATAAGGGGCACTGCCAGCTCCACTCATCCTCAGGTCCTTATTGCCAGAAACTCCAAAATTTGGAAAAGAGGGCAGGCCACAGAATGGACATGCGCAGTACATCTTGAAGAACACCAGTTATGGAAGAAAGTAACTATCTTTTCTTGGTTGGAACCTTGGTGACTGCAGCCAGTGGACTGGCATCAGAAGTCCAGCCATCTACATCTCATGATATGTGACTGGTACCAGGACATTGAATGGGACCAGGAAGTATCACAGACTGGTTGCTAGGGAGAATCTCCCAGCATATGGCAATTCCCTTCTTGAAAACCAATGGTGGCATGACGGCCAGTGGCTTTGGTCCTCCAACTGATCACGGGAGCTGTGGGTTGCTCCTAGTGCTCCTGCATGTTCCTTGATGGGTCTGTGCTGGGTCACTGGCAAGGTATGCCTTGAGTTCTGCGGTTGGTGCTGCCTGAGGTTTGGTATTTCTGAGATGTGGCGGCCCCAGGAGGGTTAGCAGTGGCAAAATATCCGTTGTGATAGGGAATGGTGCAACTGACGTAGACACTGGGAAGTCCTAGGAGATCTGGGTACCAGAGGAGCTGGTGTGGGTGGCATCAGGATCTCCTCACCTGCCTGGAGCTAGTGGGGCTCTGCATCACTATTTGGACTCGCAGGTGATTTACAGAATGGTAGGCTGCACCACTTGAACTGAGCTGTGGCTTGTCTTCTCAACAGGGGTGCTATGCTGCCCAGCATAGGTTTTGGTTCACCCCAAGCCCTGTCCTTTCCTTTGAGGGTACTAGGAGATTATCTTCTTACAGTCTTTCAGATTCTTAGTTGGAGCCTTAGATGGAGCCATTTGTCACTTATATGCCCAAGCGCCTAAGACAGCTATTATGGGGATTACTAACAGGCACAGGCTGTTTGCAGTAATTGCAAGGTTGAAAGCCTGGGAAACAGGGCATGTCCCACCCCCAAGTTGAGTCCTATTTGGGACTAATGAAGACTCTAAATTACTGCTAAGTATAACTAACTCAGCTATTAACTACACACACACACCCACCCACCCTAATTTACAGGTTCTACAGGATCACAAGAATGGAGAATAAACAACGCTAGCTGACCCAGTGGATGTTCCATGCATTGCCACTGGCAGCAAGGAAGAACTGAGGGTAGGAGAGCTAGCGGCACCTCTTATGTTATTTCAGAATAGGTCTCCTACGGAAAACTTACTGCACCAATGCAGGTAATGAACACACACACATACTATAGAATGGACATGAGCAAGCACTCATTTTCTTATCTAATATTGACAGATACATGCACACACGCACTTTTAATTAGCTTTAAAGCTATTGGGCCTTCAGATTTCTAAAATTGAAATACCAGTTTTACTGTGTACATAACATTACACAAAGCCCATTGTAATACATTTTTCACAGTGGATAACAGTCATAAATCATGACTTACCCTCCCCCACCAAAAGCTAGAGAGTCCATGTCTCCTTTAATAAAAAACATATTGTCTCCTGTCCATTTGAAGACCTAATTGAAGTAGAGAATAGCAAATTAAATATTTTAAAAATTGAATTTTGTAAATTTCAAGTGTTGTTGCACTATTCCCGACATAGATATCTGCCATGATTCTAGTGAGAAAATCCACAGCTCTAGATTGTACAGATATTTAAAGTGAGAAATACGGATTAGTTCCAGGGAACAAATTCACCTCCAGAATAATGCCTATATACACTTGTTTAGCTTCTTTATCTTTTCAAATCCAAACCCACCTTGGTCATTAACTTTTGTTTTGATTACTTCAACTGCAACTTTACTAGTCCTAATTAAACTACAATATATGTGGAATGCCACAACCATTACTATACCACTAAATTCAAGTACAAGGATCATCCCAGTTTCTATTAGTTTCTTTTGACTTCACATTATATGCAGAATGCAATTTAAGTTTTGCTTATTCATTTCCTGTCTTCTCAGTCTTTTCCCTTTCCACTCCTTTGCTCTGCATTAACTCCAGATATTTTTTCCTGGTAGGTGCAGGTCAGTTCTTTATCATCCCATGAAACACAAGTTCTTGTAGTCAATATTGTTGACACTAATATCGAATGGTGAAATAAGATGTACAACCTCCTTACCTCAAAATCTGGAGAGAAAGTAAACAGAAAAGTCTCTCCAGTTCCATAAAAGCAGTCACTCACTTTAAAAGGTTCAGAAGCTAGTGCACCAAAAACCTATAGGAGAAAGAAAAGTTGAGATGAAAAATGTAAGTAGAATGCTGAAGCTACACAGTCTACACTGCATCTACAAAACCTTTACAGTTTTGTTCATGAAATCTCTCTCATTATATGGGTTTCTTGCTTGCTTTTACAACTTTAGATGTAGGGACATTTAAAACCGGCTTTTGGGATGAGCACAGAAACCTCAAAAGTTTAAACAGTACCAACTGAAATGAAGATGTCGTTTCACTTTCAGCCTCTACTGGTAAACAAAATGTCTCACGTGCCATATGCAGAACCCCGATGGGCAGCTAGTTGTCCATTAATGTTCTACTGTAATCTTAGAGCAGGAAGAATTACTTGTCAGAGAAATACTGGGAGGAAAACAAACTGAGATCTCATAACTGATAATGGAAATTAAAAAGAACAGAAGCTGCTCCCATATGGGTTATACTCTGTGAACCAATTATTTCATGATTCTAGGTGTTTTGCCTTTTAATTCTCTCTATTGTTTAAAGGGTACACAAACTAATTTTGTGCAACTCAATTAAAAAAAGATAACTTAAAATACAACAAATAGTCTGGGAGCACTTTAAAGACTAACAAAACATGTAGATAGTATCACAGTTTATCCTGTACAGATTAACTTGGCTACCCCCTAAAGCAATTAAAAAAGATTTAGATATTTTCATAATATTATTGGCAGTCTTGCTGAAAAAGTCTGGCAGATACCATCTAAGTTTTATTGACCCATAATCAAGCTTGGTTATCAACGCTGATTCTAAAGTTTAAAAAAAACCACCACCACACACACTTAACTCACTAGTTGGAAGAAACTATGCCCCTGCTAATTCCCAACTTCAAAGAGTTTCATACAAACAGATTCATATCAAATGATGCTAGCAATCAGTGTCATTTACAGAACATAAGGAAACTATTTCATGGATAGCACCTTATGTGTCTGAACAGCCCTACTTCAGTCATATTTTACTGGTTTGTTTTTTGTTCAAAGTATACTTCAGTGGTTTGGTTTTGGCCAAAGGCCAATTAATTGAATTGCTTATATCTTCCCACACAAGTTTAGTCAATGGAGGAAAAAGGAGTGGCCCACACTCAGGTCCAATTGACTTTTCTATTTACTCTTCAGTCTGACCTAAGATGAGAAGTGTTTGAGCAGATGAGAGGGGAAAACCCAACAACCCTGTAGATGGATTATATAGTTCATCTGATTCTAAGATTTCTATTAACAGGTTTTTTCTCCTAATACAGTATGTTTTTACTATGTTGAAACAAACAAAAAACATTTTACCTCAGACTCTACTTCAAGGAACATTTTGTATGTTTTCTGCCAAAGGATGAATTCACAAGTGTTTCATTGATCTGACCTACTGAATTTGACATGTCTTTGAAACACAACAAAAAGGTGGAAAATTTTTTGAAAGGTAGCAAAATTACTGAGTCCATAAAGTTCATCAGGGCTAAGAAGAATCAGGGTCATTTCAGTCACTTATAAAGAAGAAATTTACCTTCTAATCCCTCAACAGGGACTACAAACAGTTTAATAGATATAGATAACTTCTGACAGGAAGAATGAAATGAAATTGGCAAAACATAAATATTCAAAAAAAACATACTCTACAGCACTGCTCCTTTTTAACTTTTTTCCAATATTGTGCTTAAGAGCATAGGCACCAGTCCAAACATATAAAGCTGGTACAACAATAAGTCTTGTTGTCCATGTCATGTTCTTGTGCTCCCCCCCTCCCGCCCCATTTCTCAACTATTATTCAGGGACTAATAATACCAGGGAAGATAATGGAGCAAGTAATTAAGGAAATCATCTGTAAACACTTGGAAAGTGGCAAGGTGATAGGCAACAGCCAGCATGGATTTGTAAAGAACAAATCATGTCAAACCAATCTGATAGCTTTCGTTAATAGGATAAAGAGTCTTGTGGATAAGGGAGAAGCGGTGGATGTGGTATACCTAGACTTTAGTAAGGCGTTTGATACAGTCTCGCATGATATTCTTATCAATAAACTAGGTAAATACAACTTAGATGGTGCTACTATAAGGTGGGTGCATAACTGGCTGGATAACCGTACTCAGAGTAGTTATTAATGGTTCACAATCCTGCTGGAAAGGCATAACAAGTGAGGTTCCGCAGGGTCAGTTTTGGGACCGGCTCTGTTCAATATCTTCATCAATGATTTAGATATTGGCATAGAGAATACCCTTATTAAGTTGTGACTAATCTGGAGGATAGGGTCATAATTCAAAATGATCTGGACAAATTGGAGAAACAGTCTGAGGTAAATAGGATGAAGTTTAATAAAGACAAATGCAAAGTGCTCCACTTAGGAAGGAACAATCAGTTTCACACATACAGAATGGGAAGCGACTGTCTGGGAAGGAGTACGGCAGAAAGGGATCTAGGGGTTACAGTGGACCACAAGTTAAATATGAGTCACCAGTATAATGCTGTTGCAAACAAGGCAAACATGATTCTGGGATGTATTAACAGGTGTGTTGTGAGCAAGACACGAGAAGTCATTCTTCCGCTCTACTCTGCGCTGGTTAGGCCTCACTTGGAGTAGTGTGTCCAGTTCTGGGCACCGCATTTCAAGAAAGATGTGGAAAAATTGGAGAAGAGCAATGAGAATGATTAGAGGTCTAGAGAACATGACCTATGAGGGAAGGCTGAAGGAATTGGGTTTGTTTAGTTTAGAAAAGAAAAGATTGAGGGGGACATAATAGCAGTTTTCAGATATCTTAAAGGGTGTCATAAGAAGGAGGGAGAAAACTTGTTCATCTTGGCCTCTGAGGATAGAACAAGAAGCAATGGGCTTAAAGTGCAGCAAGGGAGGTTTAGGTTGGACATTAGGAAAAAGTTCCTAACTGTCAAGGTAGTCAAACACTGGAATAAATTGCCCAGAGAGGTTGTGGAATCTCCATCTCTGGAGCTTTTTAAGAGTAGGTTAGATAAATGTCTATCAGGGATGGTCTAGACAGTATTTGGTCCTGTCATGAGGGCAGGGGACTGCACTCGATGACCTCTCGAGGTCCCTTCCAGTCCTAGTATTCTATGATTCTATGACTAAGTTAATCACATTTTAGGGGAAACTCTGTATCTAATTCTGTATGGCCTGACATCCAGTTCTTTGAGTACTTATGGCAACCCTTTGCTCCAGTACTATTTTACCAAACACTGTAAGCAGTAAACATGCTCATAAATCACCACAGCACTAAACTTACTACTACAACACAAAGCTGTATCAACTCATGGCATGCTACTATGGCATTGGTAGTGCTATAGTCATAGCAGAGCCACTATCAACACTAATGATGTGGGATGATTTCTGATGATTATTAAACTGGAAGTCATGTAGAGTGGCAGCAAATAGTATTTTGGGGCTCTAATTTTCATGAATGGTGCTCTAGTGAAAAATGTGGTTGTCTGTGCACAGAACTGACTCCTAGCCAGAGGAACAACTACCTTTGTTACCTCACATTGCTGTTATTCTCTCCTTCTCTGATCAACTGTTACAATCCAACTGACACAGAACCTCTGGACTCCAACACTCCACCTGGTTCTCACAGAGTGATGTTTCAAAGAAAGAAACCTCTCAACTAGCTGTTCCCGTCACTTCACACTGACTCAGCCATTGTAGGTTTCAGAGACAAAGAGTGACATTCCTGGAATCTTATACAAATACCGTGAATTTAAGTAATTAAAATAACCTTTCAGTACTGAAGAACACCTTACAACTTCATAACATGTTTATTTTTACATTGAAGAGTCGTTTATATGTTTTCAAGAGTGGCTTATATGTCTGCCTGACAAAATGGAATCTTTAAACAATTCACATATAGTGTGGCCAGGTGTCCGGTTTTGAACAGGACAGTCCAGTATTTGAGCTTTCTGTTAAGAAAACAAATTGAGAAAATATAAATATCCGGTATTTTCTAAATAACATGTAATGTAGATTATGACATAATGTCAAGTGTGTCCGGTATTTTTGTTGAAACCACCTGATAATTCTATTCACATAACCTTCCCTTTCAGAATCAGATTGGGGGGGGGGGGGGGGGGGGGGGGAGAGCATGGAAGGCACGTAGGGGAAGCATGCCAGCAGTAAAACTTCTAGTGCTTCATACAAAAGCCACTGAAGTTGTAGCCTGAATTAAGAGGAGATTATTCTCCTGGTGCACATGTCTCCAAGGGGAAAGGAAAAACAGGAACAGGTGAATTATGGCCCTATAAATATCTTAGAAAACAACCCAAGCTCAAGCAAGAAGATCAAGATATGTACCAGGTGCAACATACATTGTATCATCATGGGGATGAGAGCTTGTATATTTGTTTTGTTTTATATATCTGCATTATGTAAAATGCAAAGCACTATTTTAAAGACAAATTTCTACATCACACTGTAGATCTCCTGTAAATATTTTGACAGTGACAAGAATTAAAATAAAGCCCTCTGCAGTGGAGAGGAAACAGACGTGTATTTTGTGATACATGTGGGACTTAGACTAAAGTTATTCTCTTTGTCTTGGAACATTTCACAGTTTAGGAAATCTAAATTTTAATCAACTTTAATGAAAACACCCTTAGTAAGGAAAATATGTACATGGACTTGGAGTGAAAGTTGTGTTTCATACTGAATAGAAACAAATACAATTTATAAAAATAAAAGTTATTTTTACAGAAGTAACAAGACTCATTTTAAATATGAATCTTAGATATATTTTAAACAACCACACATATTAACAGGAAGCCACAGAACACAAAGTAATTTATGTGCCAGACTCAGACTGTCAGTTTTCTTTAAAAAACAAAACTTTGGTGGCTAAGGTATACACAAATGCTTTCAGAGCTGGTGGACTACATCCAGTTTCAAAGCAACATGTAAGATATTTTGTACAGTATAAAATATGCATCTCATCAAGCATTCCTCTAGCAATAAAAATGCTGGTTTGTGAAAACTCTTGTAAAGTTATTTTTGTGACCTCTACACTACCATGCTGGGCATTTCTGCCAATACACTACAGAAGAATCTCAGAGTCACAAACTGAGAGTCAATCACACCTCATTTGGAACCAGAAATGCACCATTAGGCAGCACAAATGCAGTACTGTATTAAACTATTAAAAAAGAAGAAAGTAGCATTTTTCTTCTGCATAGTGAAGTTTCAAAGCTGTATTAAGTTACTGTTCATTGTAAACTTTTAAGAGAACAGCCATCATGTTTTATTCAGCGTTACACACAACCTCCTTTCCTAAGGTGTTCATAACTCAGAGGTTCTACTGTGTCAACTAACCGTATTGTATTTTGTATTTCTGTTTCAGATCATCACAATATAATTTGTGGACAAAGAAAAGCCAGCAACACATACCCGTAACAGAAATAATTTCAGGATTGTGCAAACTGCAACATCTAAGTTTTTAAACTCCTCACTCCACCAGAGGAGTTTGAAAACTTAAATGTTGCAGTTTGCATGAGCCTGAAATTATATCTGCTGATTTGAAAGCATAACAACAGCTTCTGTAAGTAGTACAGCGAAGGACAAAGTTACCTACCTGACAGTAACTGTTTCTTTGGAATGTTGTCAGCACAGATTCCTCTTCTGGTGTGTGAGCTCAGATTCTTTTGGCCAGCAGTGTACAGTTAGGCCATATTTTCACACCCCCAACCATCCCTTAGTTACCTCATCAATTCAAAATCTAGAGGGAAGAGCACTCTATAAATATGGGGCCATGAAATCCATGCTGACAACATATCCTGAAGAACCACAGATCCCATATCTTGTGGTAGGCAGAAAGGGTTCTTAAAGTTTCTCAGTACCGAGTGGCATGGCAGCTTTGCACGAGGGACAAGTTTTAAATCACAAGATTTAGGATAGGTCTACATTATGAGGTTACCCGTTATGTGAATAATATAGATGGAATGGACATAACTTAGGCTGACTTATTGCAGGGGCTACACATTGTCAGGTGAAATGCTCCTATTGACTTACCTTATTGCTTCTCATTCTGGTGGCATACGAGAGTTTATGGGAGATTATGGGAGCAGATTTTCACTTGACCTGCTAAATCCACCTCCAGTGGATCGATCACTGCAGCATTAGTGCACACAAGACATTAATGTCAGCCAATACTAGGGTTAACACATAATCTAATATAGATTACGTAGCTAAGATCTTTCTCTCTTTTGTGTGTAATACACCACAGCTTTTGTCAACAGGCCAACTATAAACTATAAACACAGGCTAGCTTAGGTTAACAACTAACTGCACAGTGAGCTAAGTAAGCAGACACTGCAGGGGCTCTGTTTTGATACCACAGCAGGGGAGAAGGAACTGAGGAATAGTTGGGCCCATTCCATCATTTACGTCCTGGGGTGGAGGCATGTGCACCAGAAGTGGAATTCCCAAAGACTATCACTCAAAGAATTGATTATACAGCACTGAAGCTACCATAAATATATCTTTGTCAAATGGAGAGACGCTCTAATCAATACAGTAACCTCAAGATGACTGTTCCTTATATGTGCATATCTATCACTAAGGCTATGTCTAGACTGCAAGCCTCTTTCGAAAAAGAGCGTCTAGACTGCAAGCAGTACTTTCGAAAAAGCAAGACGCTTTTTCGAAAGAAAGCAGCGAGTGAGTCTGGATGCTCTCTTTCTAAAAAGCCCTGTTGGCATTCAAGAACGCCTTTTTTCGAAAGAGCACTTTCGAAAAAAGGCGTTCTTCCTCGTGAAATGAGGTTTACCGCCGTCGAAAGAAAAGCCGCGTTCTTTTGATTTAATTTCGAAAGAACACAGCTGCAGTCTAGACGCAGGTGAAGTTTTTTCAAAAAAAGGCTACTTTTTTCAAAAAAACCCTGAGTCTGGACACAGCCTAAGGGAATGGTACAGAGATTGGTTACCTAAGGCAAAAAAGTTGGTAATGTGCTCTTAGACAGCAAAGACTGTATATCTTTCCCAGTTTTTGGGTAGGATAATGATCCTGTGCTTTATCAATCCTCTGATACTCTCAGATACCTAGTCCTCATTTTATTTAAGATACATTAAAATATTTCGTCATAAAATGTTAGAGAAATTGCTACAGTCGTGGTTTGACACTGCATTTACTTCATCAAAACATTTGCTGGAAAAATAATGCCATTTTCAAAAACTGCTCGCACAAAGACACAACTGTAACACCAGTATACAATCATGAAATGGAATAAGCTTAACACAGGCGCTTTTATTACTAAAACACACTGATGTTTCAGCTGTTCAGCTATCATTGAAAGCAGCAGTTCTGATTTTTTTTTTACCATTATTTCCATACCTGTCCATCACTATCCTTGATAACCATTAGTACAGGAGTGTCCAGCCCCAACATAGTTCGATACAACGTCTTCAAGCTCATGCCATGTTTTGCAGTGCTGTAGACAAGAGTCCATGGATACCCAATGGTTCGTGGAGGAAGGTGTTTTGTGAGCTGTTAACGAAACAATGAAGATTCTCTTATGCATTAAATAATTACATTTACTTGATATACTAAGTGGGACTGAGGCTAGATTGTGTTTTACTTAGCTTTTCAGAAACCACTTGAAATAACCTTTCAATATATGCCAAGCCCCCTTCTTGTCCTTCAAGAAGTCCCAAAAACTTATTTCCTCCAGAAAGTGTTAATAGCTGTAAAACCGTCTAGAATGTACTCCAGATATTCTAAGCATCCATCAACAAGTTTCTAGCCTTTTTTAAAAAAATTTTAAGCTACTTTTCTATTAGAGCTGTTAAGTATGATTAATCAACTCATGAAATTAACTCAAATTAATTGTGATAAATCACAGATATAAACTGCACTGTTAAACAATACCAATTGCAATATATGAAACATTTTGCAATGTTTATGTACAATTTCAAATATATTGATTTCAATTACAACAGAGAACACAGAGTGCATAGTGCGTACTATTATAATAAAAAATATGTTTGCACGGTAAAAATGATAAAAATACTATTTTTCAATTCACATTACACAAGTACTATAGTTCATTCTCTATCATGGGTCACTTACAAATGTAGATTTTTGTTACATAACTTCACTTGATCAAAATATACAACTTTGGCACCTACAAATCCACTCAGTCCTACTCCCTTGTTTGACCAACAAGTTTGACCAACTGCAGTTTGACCAACAAGTTTGTTTGCATTTAAATGAGATAATGCTGTCTCCTTGTTATTTACAATGTCATCTGACTTGAGAACAGGCATTCACTCAGCATTACTGTAGATGACACTGCAAGATATTTTTGTGCCAGATATGCTAAACATTTACATTTTTCTTCATGCTTTGGCCATCGATGATGCTGTTTTAAATACACTTTATATTTTGTCAAATCTGCAATGAGAGTAGCTAGCAATGTGAAATTTCTAAAGATAGTTACTGGACTCGACCCAAAGTTTAACAATCTGAAGTGTTTTCCAAATTCACAGAGGGATGAAGTGTGGTGCACACTTTCAGAAGTCTAAAAAGTACCACACTGACGTGGAAACCACAGAACCTGAACCACCAAAAGAGAAAATTAACTGTGTGCTAGTGGCATCTGACTCACATTATAAAAAGAACATGAATCAAAAGCACAGCTACGTCCTCTGGAATGGTGGCTGAAGAATGAAGGGACATATGAATTTAGCACATCTGGCATGTATATATCTTCTGACAATGGTTAAAACAGTGCTATGAGAATGCCAGTGTTCTATTTTTGAATGCATTTATTTTTGTATAAAAATCTACATTTTTAAATTCAACTTTTATGATAAAATAGATTGCACTACAGTACTTGTATGAGGTATATTGAAAAATATTTTTACAGTGAAAATGTGTAATCTAAATAAAGTATTTCACTCCTTATATTCTGTATTGTGATTGAAAAATATTTGAAAATGTAAAAAAATAACCAGAAATATTTAAAAAAATGTGTTCTATTAACAGAATTATTAACCATAGCATTTTTTTAAAAATCACAATATTAATTGCAATTAATTTTAATAGCTTGATAGTCATACTTTCTATCTAAATGGAAAATAGAATTTTTAGAACAATAGTCTTCCATTGAAAGCTGTGGTTTTTCACTCTCTACATGTAATAATATATGGCTCAGGTTTGCATTCAAGACAGCTGACATCTTCATAGTCCTCTCTCAATATTGAAGGAATACTGGAGCAGGAATAGGAGCAACAGTTCAATCAGAGTGGATCCTCCTCTAAAAATTACATATACCTTTCATATCCACACTCTGCTTCAACAGACGCCATATCGCACTACTCAGAAAAAGTGACAACATATTCTCATTGCTATTTCTCCCCATACCTACACAGTGAGATTGATTCCCTGTAATGAGGCCAATGGAGGCAAATGGTCATTTACAAGAATGCTTCAGGTAGCCATACCCATTATAGCCCCAATGCTAAATGTAAAAAAGAGGGGAGTGAAGAGGTGTCTTTGTTTTATGTCCATCACCCTTGTCCTATGTGTCAAATCTCCTCTCCTGTCAATATGATTAACTTGAGGAAGATAGTGATAGTATAACCCATATTGGAAACTTGGATGTCATAAGATGGGTAGAGTGTGTGTGCATGTCAACTGCAGGTAAGAATATGGGGGCAGAATTAAGATTGATGCAAAAACCTTAACTGTGCATTTTTAAAAAAAGTTATGATGGTCTATTGACCCCCAAGCCTTGTTCTTCTCCAGGCAAATGCCCTATTCCCTAGTCCAGTGGTCCCCAACATTGCGTGGCTGCCGGGCGCCCGGGGGCGGAGCTGCTCACGTGCCGGGCATCCGGGGGCAGGGCTGCTCACACACCGTGCTTCCGGGGGAGGGGCCACCCATGAGCCATGCGCCCCAGGCCGGCACCGCACATGTGCCGCACACCCAGGGGAGGGGCCGCCCATGCGTCCCGGGCCTGGAGCCGGCACCATGCGTGTGCCGCGCGCCGGGGGCAGGGCCAACCCAGATGTTTCAGCGGGCGCCCAGAAATCCCCCGGCGGGCGCCATGGCACCTGCGGGCACCGCGTTGGGGACCACGGGTCTATTGCTCTCTTTTTAACCATGTATATCGTTCATTAATTCTTTTGTATTCACTTGTGTTTACATTGTAAACTCTTCAGAATAAGGTCCTTGCTATTTATTTGCTATACTTCATCTGACACAAGATGCTCAGGATACTTACAGAATATAGATAATATTGTTCTATCAACAGTTTTATTTGAAAACCATACCTTTTCAATTTGGTCTGACTGTAACAATTCACTGGGATCACTAAGATTTGGCCGAAATGCTTCAGGCTCCAGGTCTGTTTTAATATTTGTGGCCTGCTTTGAATTTATGTCTTCCCTTGTTATCTGCAAGGTAGGAGGAAATAAACATTCTAGAAGGTATGTTAAGCATTCACAATTCTCTTACAGAAGTATTAATCAGTATATGTCACATCTTCTTCACTGTGTTTTTGGATTGGGTTTAACTCCTTGGAATTTTATATTAAGTTTGCTATATTAGGTATTTGAAATATTACACTGAAATTACTACTTGTACATGTACTCTAATATTCAGAAGAAAGTTATTCCTGTTTTTTCACAAGCCTTCGAGTTCAGGATTGAATTTTACTGTTTACTACAATTAAAAGCCAAAGTACATGATCTCAAGCACCACACAAATCATATTGTTTTTAATAATAAGAAAGGGGTTTGAGTTGTACACATTTTAAATGCAGAAACAGTTCATTTCAAATGCTTCATACTCATCACTCAAAAGCTACAGATTTTAAGCAATACCTAAAGAAAAGAAGTTTTAAAGCAATTATGATGTGAAACTTCAATTTCTTAATACACATTTACAATGCCTGCTGTCAAATATTTTAAGTTAGCATTAGTGGTTTAAAGCATTCGACTGGTACACAGGAGATGGAGGTTCTATTCCCAGCTCTGCCACTGACCTACTGGGTGATCTCTGGCAAATCACTCCCTCTCCGTGCCTCACCCACATCTATTAAGTGTGAATACTTATGTAAAGTGCTGAGCTCTATTGATGAAAAGTGCTAAGAAAGAACTAGGCATCATTGTTACCCTAAGAATCAGAGTCAAACTCATTGAAGTAACGGGAAAGACCCTTATAGACTTTGCTGGATAGTAGATTAGTCTTTATGCATCCATCAGGAAGACAATACAAGTCAACATTTGTCAAAACATGGTTTAGCAGATACTTCAGTTTTTCCCCTATATTTAGAATAGGAAACGTATTTCAAACACCAATTTGTGGTAACTGTTGCCAAATGTTAAATTTTTCAAAGGTGAACGCTTTTGACACAAAGACAACTTTCACTTGAATCCAAGTGTAACACTTTTCCAACCAGAAAAAAATCCAAAAGTTAAGTAAATTGTAATAATCCATTGAACAGCTAAGAAAATAAACTTTGCTGTCTACCACAAGATACTAAAACCAATAATAAAATATGAAGATAAGGAATATTTGTATAATAGTAACATGATTACAACATTATTATTAATCCTTAAATTGAGAAAGATTGCCTTAGTCATTTTGAGGAGGGCACCAAGAAAGGCTCAAGTCTAAAAGCATTTGTTAGCATCTAATTTCACAAAACATCAGCCAGGTATATATAATTTTCAATATCATTTTCCAATTAAATATTAAATACGATTAATACAGTATATCCAATTTGGCCTCCTCTACCCCAAATTTCACATTATCAAGGGCATAAGTACCGTAATTCTACAAAACATAACTGCTGTTCAAGAATACCATAAAATGTTTATACTCTATTTGGTTCTTTAATTTTTATTATACTACTACATGCAAAACATATGCTGTCTGAGTTACTGATTTTATACAATTTTTACCACTCCAATGACATTTGCAAGCAAATGAACGGTCTTCTCAAAATGTGATGCTCCTATAAACAAACTATATAACATACTATAACATTTTCACTGTCAACTAATATTCTGACAGCATAACAGGTAAATAAGACATCACTCTGGCCATTAAAATAAGCAGAGGCAGCAATGCCATAAAAGCATTTTCCTCTGTATAGCCATTTGCAAAAACTACTCAAACAAAATAAAATCCACACTTCAAACCATTTCATTAGCTATTTAGAAACACACATCAAATTAATATTATTTCATGTTTTCAAAAAAACCTTCTTAGATATGCTTTCATCAGTAAACTTGGCATAATGTACACATTAATTCTTAAGTGTGCATATGCCAATGTACATAAAGAAATACCTAAAGAGAATGCAAGCATCAATTCAAGATTAATATCTGATAAATCAACGGAATTAGTTCTGAGCTGCTGTTTTAGGGATTGGAAGTTCTAATTCTAGCCTCACTAAAGGGCAAATACTTACCTACTTCATATGGAAGCTGTAAGACTTAATAGTTGCCAAAAAAAAAAAAAAAAAAAAAAAACCTGAAATACTTGTAGGATCTTTATTTATAAAGAACTTACGGGTGTGTCTAGACTACCTAGTTTTGTCGACAAAAGTGGACTTTTGTCGACAAAACTATACCAGCGTCTACACTACCACTGAGTTCTGTCGACATAACGTCGACAGAACTCAGCAGTTTTGTCGACGCTGGTATACCTCATTTTACGAGGCATAACACCTTCTGTCGACAGAACTCTGTCGACAGAAGGTGTTATTGCCTGTAACATTGCGTCCAGACTACGGAGTTCTGTCGACAAAGCAGCTTGCTTTGTCGACAGAACTCAATGTGTCTGGACGCAAATTGTCGACGGAAGTTTTGTCGACAGTATCTGTCGACAAAACTTCCGTCGACAAAACGCAGTAGTCTAGACGTACCCTAAGACTTCAAATATACATTCAGTCGAGTAAGTCCTTATTTAATTTTGTAAACAGAGTTTTTGATTGCTCCATCTCTTTTGCATTCTTTTTAGGAAAGCTTCTAACCAACTCAAGCCACCATACTGAAACAGAAAGTAAAACACAAGTCCTCATCACTCTGGAAACCATGTAGTAATGAGAACAAAGTTGCAAAGATGACAGAAAATTCCTCTGAAATGATCACTTTGTCACAGAGGTACTGCACTCTTATCTTATCAGTGTATTAACACATATTCAAGATAAAGGAATTTTCTGCAGGGTTCTTGTAGTGATGTAGCCAAGACAAACCCACCGAATATGGGACTTGCCCTGATCAAAGCCACTACAGAGAAAGATGTTTTAGTCTCTGGAGAAGGGGTTTTAACTACGAAGAGGGCACCTTGAGGCGTCTGCAGAGCGTGCGCAGTTCTTCACTATTTAGAGCATCGATCCTGCGGTGATACTCAGCCACTGACACTACCTGAATATGGAGACAGGAAGAAAATAATTCCACTGACAATTGAAAAAAAAGAAAGAGTAAGAAAGAAAAATGGAGAAGAGTAATGAGGGAGGGGTTTGCAAAGACAACAAAAGGAAAAATTAAAATGTTAGAGACATTTGTATTTGCAAGAATTCTATGTGCACGTAGGATGTTTTTGACTTATGATGGGTACATACAGTGAAACTAGGTATTCATACACAAATGGCACCAAAGATCTGACACATCTCAATGTCCTAATGTATGACTATAAATTAAATCTAATATGACAGTCCATAAAATTATGCTGTTAAATAATTAAACATACACAAACAAGAAAAAAAACTGCGGATTGTAATCATGACTTAAGCCCTTCATATGTCATGTCACAGCGACAGGTAAGCACTTAGTTTGCCTTTACAAAAAGTAAAGACTTATTGTTTAAAAAGTCAATCTTGTGCTAACAAGAATTTAAAACTGAAAAACTGAAGTTTAAATAATATCAAACCTTACTTCTTCACAAAAACCCTGGGGATATAAGACTAGAAAAGATCACTATCAATCAATTTTACATTCTAATTGATAGAGCATAAAAAAGGGCAAGAAGCTGCTAAATTAAACAATGCCAAGAGATTACCTCTTTGCTTTTTCCTCTCAGAGATTGTGCATTTATTATAAGTCATCCAGTCCGTTCATTTTTTCCTTGTCATGCATATAACTCTGCTCCCTTTCCTACTCCATGTAACTTCACATGCTCTTTACACTATAATTCATCATTCCTGCAAAAGTTTCATCATGCTCCAAATGTCAACTATAATTTCTGCATTAAAGGCCACACGCTATTCAATGACATATCTCTCCGTTAAGTTCCACTATATCAATTTTTTCTGAGAAACATTTAACGACTATCTAGAAAACAAATATACTGTAAGTAAAAAGGCAGAAACCATCACTAACAACATTTTCACTCTTGTGTATCAACAGTCAGTTACTTAATACATAGCCTGACTCTCAGAAAAGTTGAGGAGCCATAATTCCCAGTGATTTCTATAGAACTGAATGTTTCTCAGAACTTCCGAAAAAAAAAAATCAGGCAGCTTATTCAGGGACCTGACTTTACCACCCAAACTGAAAAATACCGGTCTCCATAATTTAACACGTGTGCTAAGAAATACCTTGTGAGTATTATAGCAGCTTGACCCATCTACATATTACCTCTTTGTAAGCCAGAGGTCAAAATATTTCAAACACAAGACTTATTGAATGTCCAGTGCAGGGTTACATTTACTTTGAGTGACTTAGATGTAGTTATTTGTTCATGATAGCATACAGCCACCATTCATTTAAAAGAGCCAAGTATAAATCCAATTCAGTCTGTAGGAAAATAAATATATTACAAGGTGCCTCGATCAGAAAACTGATTGCACAGGATATATCATGTTATTTTAACTGGTTAACTCTACTTAGTGTTGTTTGGTTATTCTTTTTATTTTATAATTATTATTATTATCAGGAAGTGACTACAACCCCCCGACACAAAATGTATTTTCCAAAGTGTTCAAAGAGTATTGAAGATTTCTCTATAACCATAGGCACCATGTGCTCTTGTCTCAGGCAAATAGTTAAGGGGAAAGTCTGTAAAGTTTTTGATGACAACTTAGTATCGGCAGCCAATTGCTTGCTCTGGTAAATAAAACTGCACATATTTTAGAAGAATCGTATACGGCTAAGAGGGCATAATCTCTTTTGACAAAGATTTAAAATTAAAAATGTAGCTCATTGCAACACTGAGGATAGCAGATTTCAAGAGTAGGGTAGAACAGGAAAAACTGAGCATGTACTGATTTTTTCTCTTCCAGCTATCTATCCAGTCCTCTTGCTGAAATTCTATTTTCTCTCCCTTTTGAGTCTTCTATATTCCCAGATTTGTATCTGCTCTTCCTCACTTCAGTTTTTGTTTGTGTCTCTACAGCTTAGATATAAACCTTTCATACCTATCCTTTCAGCATGTCCTTCTCTCACTCGAACGTCAAATGCCCAAATTAGGGATGTAAAAAAGTAGTCGAACAGTTGAATACCTGCTAAACTTAGGCTTATTGAGTAGTTAAGTGGACTATTCATATTCACCCCACCCTGTCCTGCTGCCTCCTCAGGGACAGCAGAGGGTAGGGATGGGAGAGCAGGTGCTGGGGGAAGCCGGCTTAAAATCAGTTCCCCCAGCACCATCTCTGCAGTGAGGGTGGGGGAGATGGAAAGGGAGCAGAGGCACACTGGGTCCCGACTGCTGCGCCTCTGCCTTTTAAATGTAATAAGAACCGCCTAGCACTCTTCAATCCCCATTCATGCCAGGTTCCCTGCTGCGTCTCCCCCCTTATCGACTAATCAAGTAATCAATGGAAATTCTATCTACTGCTCGATTAGCTGACAAAATAAAATTTAACATCCCTAGCTCAAATCGTAACACATTTCCAGTTAAAGGAGATATGACATTATGTAAGCATGGAGAAGCAAAACCAAAAAAAGGCAAGGTCCAAAAAGGTCCACAATTGTACTTCTTAGTTTCAGGAGTAGTTGTGTTCATCTAGATATGCAAAAACAACAAGGAGTCCGGTGACTCCTCCCTCCCCACCTCCTGCCCCGATCAAATTTATAAGCAGTGCATCCACACTACCAAGTCCATTCTTACAATATAACAGGCCGCAGAATTCAAACTCTGTACTCCTGCTTTTCACAAGGAGTAATGCTAATTCCAAAATCGTAACTTCAAAATAATGTTAGTGTGGAAGCTCCAGTGCCACTAATTCAAACTGACTGGCCTCTGGGAAGCCTCCCATAGCTCCCCAGAATGCTTCTTGGGGCTTTAAGTCTGAGGGAGCACATCCACATTAATGGAGCCTGACAGATTAATTTTGATGCTTCCCCGTAGTGAGGACACACTAGTTTAATCAGTAGTTCTTAAGTCTAATTTAGTAATTTCAAAATAGGTTTTGTGGGTGAACACCATTTCATCAGAGGCAGCTGACAAAACAGGTTTTACTCACAAAAACTTATGTCCAAATAAATCTGTTAGTCTTTCAAGTGACATAGGACTCTGCATTAATTTTGTTTCTAAATTACAGAACTCAATCTGGATGAATAGTAATGCAGAGGTAGCCATGTTAGTCTGATCTTGCTAAAACAAAAGGAAAAACTATGTAGCACTTTAAAGACTAACAAGATGGTTTAATAGGTGATGAGCTTTCGTGGGCCAGACCCACTTCCTGCCCACAAAAGCTCACCTCCTATTAAACCATCTTGTTAGTCTTGTGCTACATAGTTCAATCTGGATGAGACTGCCCCCTTTAAAAATGAGGGAGAGAGAGATTATAAATTCTGTTAGTTTGGAATTAGCATTTACAATCTAAGCACCAAAGCAGACAGTATGACTGTCCTTAATTCCTCTACAGTTTTCCCTGCCATCTCACTCAGTTCCTGAGGGCAGGCTACAGAGTCAGACATCTCAGAGACAAGAAAAAATAACTGTTATTTAACTGGAGAGAAAGTGGGAAAAAATGTTAGCTTACAACATCACTAGTTCAGAAGTAGAAAATTTGCAAAATGTAAACACCCATAGAACAGTGTTAATTCATGTAATTGGGGTTATGACTAACAAATTTAACTAGAGGCCTAGTAGTAGAAAGGAAACAAGTTTGAATTTGGAAAAAATGATGATACTGAATTCTGGACCAGTAAAGCTGGTTATTTGTAAACTTGTATTGTGGCAGTATGTAAGGCCTGGTCTAAATTAGACAAGGCAGGTCGGTTTAAGGTAGGCCATCCAGCTATGAAAAACGTGTAGCTGGATTTGGCTTGGCTTAAGCCAAGCCACCTCAGCATCTGCACTGTGGGAGGCCAAGGGGAGCACACACTCGTCAGCTTCAATTGTTTCTCGCAGAATGAGGAGTACAGGATATTGATGAGGGCTGCTGTCACCGTTCGATCTAGAAGGTCTACAGTAGACCCACTAAATTAGAACATCGACCTCCGGAGGGTTGATTTTCTCTATAGTGTAGACATGCCCTAAAGTCCTTAGCTCTAGGACAATCCCTGCCCTGAAAAGAACAAGTGGATATGACAAAAACAGATGGAAGGAGCACAATATAAGCATCTGCCAAGTGGCAAGGTACAAATGGCAAGGTGTTTCAGTCATATTTTTTAAACTGATGTTTATAAAAATATCAGAATGTTCAGTGAAGCCAGGTCTACTCACAGAAAGTTTTGAGCGTTTTGCCGGTAAACATAGCATGGATGAAATTCATGCTGGCTAAATGGCAACTCTGCCAATATATCTAATTCCAGCTTCCCTTCCCACCAGCCCCAATAGAAATACATGTTGGACCTTCCTTGTCCAGTACTCTCAGGACCTGACTGGTCCTGGATATGGGATTTTCCCCCTGCTGCCACCCATTCTACCAAACCCAATGGGCTTCCCAGCTCCCCCCACAGCCCAGCTGAGCTGCGTGCCAGCTCCCTGTTCCTCCCTCGCAGTCCAGATGAGCTGCATGCTGGCTCCTGGGCCCTCACTTCCCTGCAGCCCACCAGAACTCTCTGATCCCGGAACACCTGTGTTCATACCAGACCATGAATGTTGCCAAACCAGAGAATCCCAGTTTTTAGAGGTATAACCTGTAGTTGATGGCAAAAGAAACACAGTTTTGTCAGAACAGCTATGTCTACACTAGAGATTTTTGCTGACAACTGTCAGTCACTGAACCAATACAACTACGCTGGTAAGAGTCTGCAGTGTATACTTGGCTTAGACAAACTAAGAGTTTCTTTTTAAAGGGAAGTGTTAGGTACATTATGCAAAAGGAAGGAAACAGTTGTTTGTATGGGATAGTTTTCTTCTTGATAAAATGCAAAAACTGCACATGAAAAGCTAGCAGTAAGTATTGCTGAATTCCCACAAAGTGGGCACAGAGCTGCAACATATTCTATGTACCGTACTTAATTGGAAAGCACTC